ATTACATTCATGTAATTTATTCGCGAAGTTGTTATACATTTTGGCAATACCTGTCTCCCCAAGATGAAGTCCTCCTCTATTTAAGTCCGTTGAGTGAATGTCATCGTGGAGTATGAAGTGCCACTGTCGCTGATTGCAGAATTTTCGAAGCCTTTTGTTGACTGCATCAACATCGCCGCTATCTGAGAGGTCCGATCTTGTGACCAGCTCTGATATTATTACTTGTGCGTCCGTGGAGCTTTCAATTTCCCTCGCTAGGTCAACGATGTTATCGGCGATTTCGCTTGGGGATAGTTTTCCAAGGTCGTTAGTACCAGCATGTAAAATGATCTGGTCCGGCTTCTTGTCCAGTGTTGGTTTCACATAATGTGACATATCACTTGTTGTAGCTCCCGCGAAGGACTTTACAACAACCCGGTGGCCGACTTCTTTCCCTAATTGCCACCCTTGTATGTTTCTGATAATTGAGTCGCCAATAATGACGGTGGTCGGCGAGGATCTTTCTTGGTTGTGGTTAAGAGTATTAGAGCTGTTGTGAGAACTCTTGTTTGGCGGCTTTTTCTTGCTCGATTTGCTTTGGTGATTCTTCGTTGTTTTGGAAGATTGAGATTTAGATGATCCATTGTTTTGCTTTGTGTCCGCCTTTGTATCCGACCATTTTGTATCCGACACCTTAGGATCAACCGAAGGCGACTCATTAAAAGCTTCCTTGCTGTCAAGGCGAAAGTTATATAGCTCCTTGCTTAGCAATGATACTACCATCTGCAGGGAATCTCGCTCCTCTTTTGTTTTATCTAGATTTCCCTTCATTAGCTGAAGTTGCTCTCGCAGAGCGCGATTTTCTTCCTGTATCCGTTGTTGATTTTGACATGATTTACAGGTTGACTGTATTTCTCTACTGTCCGTTAATCGAGATCTATACGAGTCTTTGAGTTTGTTTACCTCATTTTCCAAGCGGTCGTATAGATCTTTAAGGGATTTGTAGCCATTGCATGTGTGACTCTGTTGTTCTGGGCTGCTGCTAGTGTCGTCCAGGTTTATAACAGCCGATGGCCGAGGTGACGGTTGGTTGACATTGTGGCGGGGAATTTGAATTTCACCAGATCCTGACAAAATCGACTCCTTGAGTCTTTTAACCAGCTCAGTTTTCCTGCCAGATTTAGAGAGCTTTATTTTTTCAAGTTCGTCCCTTAGATCTTTCACCTTCAGGGAGTTGACGGACCGTCCATTTAATGCATTCTTGATAGCAGCCATTTCGCTCATTTCAAAGGACGAAGAAAGCGAACCGTATTCGGGTACAGAAGTAGACATATTCTTGTTATTAATCTGATCAGCGACTACCAGAGTTGAGTCAGTATATACTTTACTCAAATCAGGCAAGGAACTGGTCTTAACAAGCCGCGGTCTGGAGATAAAGCGATCAGCCTTCGGAGCTAGGAAAACGTGTCCATCCGCCATATTATGCAAATTCGATGTAGAGCGAAGACTTGTAGATCTGTGAACACGTTTGTACCGTCTTTAGTTGGAGTTCGTAACCAATCCTGACACGTGAATTATAGTCTGCATTTTTCAACAGACTCGCAGATGTAATGTATTTTTTCAGAAACGATGCAATTTGAAACTATGAATGAAATGTACAATCTTTTATTTTCTCATCAAAAAGTGTCACAAAACGTGTATATATTTCTTTTTTTTTTTTCAAATTGCAACTTTAATCCATATTTATCACACCCTTTTTGTATTCACGCAATTCAGCTGCAAAGTGTTACTTTAATAAACATATCTATCTATCTACATCAAAGATAAATAACAGCACTTGCGTACGACGGTTACCGATCTTTTCACCAACAAGGTGTCAAGTTCATATTCCCATTTTTTGGCAAGCTTTCTACTTCCTCTAATTTTTCTATTCTTTTTAGAGTTTCACTCGGAACACGGACAGATTTTTATGAGATAACATTATCGAAAAAACTGATACCTTTCGTCGAAAAAAAAAAGCAGTTTGAAATCTGATGGATTTTCTTCACACCTTAAAGCTTTTGGTATTATGCAACGACTGACTGAAGACTATTCACTGAGACCTCATTCAAACCATGCATTTTTCTTTAGAACAGCATGTGCCTAACCCCTCTTAGAGTAATGAGAATGTTCTTGAAGCCACAGCCCTTGTAAGCAAATCTGCTGCAGTGCCAAGTTCTATTTCCCGGCAACGATTAAACCAGAAAGGCCCTAGCATGTTTAAAACCTGCAAATCAGAAGTTGACTTTCCTTGGCACTTGAGCTCTTTCCATAGGCACGTATTCCACGCTTTGCCAACAAGTTTGTTAGAGACCTGGGCTGCCCAACTCCCTCAAAAGGGATTAAAAATGTGCAGATACCTTGATCCAGAATCTTGCTAGAAAACTTTGACCGCAGCTGGATGCACTGGACGAGTAGAAACTGCCACGAGTAGATCGAGGGGCATCCGAAATTAATACTATCAAGCAGATTGATCACTACTTGAATGCTGCGTCGACATCAGTCTTTGCCCCTAGTGATCAAATCTTAATTTGTATTGGACCAAACAAATGCTGAGTATGAAAAAGGCAAGAGTGGTCACCAGAGTAACAATCACAGGTGTGTGCACTGTTAAGAAGGCAGCCAGATTTTATGCTCCAGAAAATGGTCAAAATGAGAACATTGCAGTCATAAAAGAGTTGAAGTGATCCGGCTGTATGATCAGCTGACAGACGTATCAGGCAAGACTTCAGGCAGGAAGAAATAGGAAGATTAGGAGAGGAGGACGGAATTTGAACAGAAGAAATTTAAGAAGAATACAGAAAGCCAAGTGTTAGATGGCTAAATCAAGACAGTTCCCCCAAGAGAATGAGGCTATTCTCGCCCGAAGCTATGTCGCCTGAAAATAGGGTTATGTTGCCGAAGAGTTTTAGTCTAATCGCCCAAAATCCCGAATTATTTTATATAATGTATGTGTAAATTAATTCCAATTGGCTAGTCACTCGCTCTAATAAATCTCAGTGTTGGGACATACCTTCATGCTTTTAAGCCATATGCCTCCCTCGTTTTCTATTTAAACTTGTCATTTACTAGAAGCCGTCCATCTCAGTTTCCAACGCGATTTTCTTCTCTACTTTTTGTTGGACTTAAGATTAGCGGAAATAAGCGCTGAATAAGGAGAGCGTGTTTGGGTGAATGTTTTCCTTATCAATGCCTTTTTATTTCACCAAAAGTATAACTGTTACTGTGAACAGGAAGCCAACGTTGTCTTCAGAGGAGGCAAACCTTCAACCTTTCACTAGCGGTGGAGCAGGGACCAATTTATTCTCAATGGCTTAGATCTTGAGTTAATGGTTACTTCAGCCCTTAGGACTTCTTTGGATCAAAATTTCTTGAGAAAGTAGGGTATAAACCCGCAAGAAGACGCCATAGTCCCTGGATCGACCGTCTGTTCTGACTGTTCTGAGCTGTCGCTCAACCACCGAAGATGAATTAAAAGAAAAAAGGGAAGCGACAATCTGTTGCAGGCTCTCGGTCGGTGAAGACGAGCTAAAGAGCAGGTAAAACCTGCCTGATCCCACCACTTTTAGCGTGTTCGCTTTTTAATTCGTTTGCACTGACCGAAAGCCTGTCACAGGCTAGGTGATCGATAAATGGCTGTTGCTCTATTTTCCGGTCGTCATCCTTGTCCGTGGACACAGACTGATGGGTCTGGGTTCGATCCTCTGACCGAGGTCGACGTCTTGGGTTTTTGGAAATGGAAGAAGACGGAGCTGTAATCGAGGTTGAAGCAGAAACACTTCTAGTCCATTAAAGCTTATTACATATTCCCGAGCGACCACCTTTAACTCGCCTTACGCTGACGCTGATAAATTCCTTCCAGAGGGTAATATTGTTTTTCTAAAGTTTAATTGACTGCTGGCAAAACTTTCAAATGCTTGAGCAAAAAGGAAAACAATTGCTTATGAAAATGTAAAAATCTTAGTTGTGGAATTCTAAAAGAATCGAAAACTCTTTTTCGCATTTAACCAGCGGTCAATTTTAAATTAAAGTTATTCTGTTTGATATAAAATTGAATTGAAACAGCCGTAGGCAAACTGGTTGTTTTTAGCTGATCTCATCGGAGAAACCAAAAGCACTCTTCAGAGTTGCACTGATAAAATTTTACCTACGTTCTGGTTTTCACGCTTTTTTTGTTTGTTTGTTTGTTTTTTGTTTTTTTTGTATTCATTTAGTTTTTGAACAAATTCAAGAGCCATTTCAACTGACATAGACCTATCCATCTTTTTTTTTTGCGATGGGTGTCTAATTACCCAAAATAGAGAAAAAGTGTATGTAATACGAAGACGAAGTCAGTCGAGCTTCAGCGCAACCTTCTTGAAATATCACATTACTTAGCTTCAAGTAATCAAAATGAATTGGAAAGTTCGACAAATGAACGAGCCGGTTTGATTAAAAGGATTTCGGTTAGTTCGTAGAAATGTTGTTCAAAGCTCTTCAAATGTTCATATCATTAGACTCTGAATCTTGTAATAAACAATTAATTGAAAGATAAATCTTTCCTCAAAAAGCCGCAACCACTAAATTGGGCAAAAATGACGCTCACCGCCTTTCAGAGCTAATGAAATTTATTTAAATGGAACGACTTCAAACAGAAAGGAACGGTTGTCATCTGATACATGTTACACAGTAACGTTCATCGCCTCCGCGAAACGCGTAACGATAGCTAATCTGTAATCCTTTGTAAATCTCATTTGACAACTAGAAAGAAAGCCGTCCAGAGTTAAGAGCGTCGCCATTTACATGCGCTAATAACCAAGTCATTTTACAGGGAAGTTCAATTTATCATGAGGAAACACGGTTTACATGAAGGCCTTTGCAAAGCCAATCATAAGTCACAATACTAATCGAATCTCACTCCGGTAATTAAAAGTCGTTGATTACATATCACTGTTTTTGCCTGAAACGTAATTAAATTATTCAAATTTGTTGTTTCTATAAAACAAGAATTCGACTGTTGTCATAAGTTAATAGTACCGTGCTTTGTAGGCCTAATTAAATTCGTCCAAAGTAAGGAGTAAATTTTGCACTCAAGCCGAACCTAGTAAACACGACTACATGTGCGTCTGTCAGCTTCACCCAACACAGCGCTGGGGCAGGTGCTATCCGGTGTCCCTTCCAAATAAGGCAAGCTTGTAATATCAAATGGAAAGTTTTCTGTAATTGATTCACCAATTATCTCATTGATAGATTGCCAAATGCGACTAATTCCTTGATAATCTCAGCGTCGCAATCCTTCCCGCTATCCTATTAGAAGAGCAATATTTTTTGATGACGCGAACAAAGCGGCCGACAGCGGCGGGTCTTCTGCTCTCGTTAATGGTCCCCATCTCAGCGTGATTTGAGTGATCCCGTGTTAAGAACTCGTGTACAAGTAACGCAAACAAAGACGTTTATTAAATTATTGACCGGGTGGTTGTTTCGCAGGGAGTCGCGCCCCAAACAAATTAACAACTCTTGAAGTCCAAGACATTCGATAGAATTCGCGAACAGTTCGAGACAACGTACAAATCTTTACCAGATACCTGTTTTTCTGTCGATATATACTTTACAATAGAGGAACAAATGAAGGGGTGATCCTTTGAGAAACTAATTAAAAATTTATGCTGAAAGAACGAGTTCACAAGTAGTGTCTATTTTCTTTCCTAAAATTTACTCAGACGTAAGCAGCACGTGTGAAATATGATTAAAAGCAATTCATTCAGTGGAAGAGACACAGCTCAAGGAGGCGGCGTGTTCTCGTGCTTTCAGTCTAAGTGCCGCGATACTGGTTGTTCTTCTGTCTGGCTCTACCGGTGAAACGCTTCGAGGAGATGAACCACATGACACAACGGGAGAGAGTTTAAACACTGGTGACTTATAGGGCACGGAGGTTGCCGTTAGAAGTGAGCTGCTGCCATTGCCGCCGCTCAGTATGGCCGCCGCCGAAAAGTACTCCGAGTGGTGGGTGTAATACGGTGAATAAAAGTGGGCCATACTACCTGACTGTGGGCAAGCCGCGGGGTGTAAGGGAAGTCGGAGGGCCGGAAAAGAAGGCGGCGGATGAGGCGGCATTGCGGAGGAAAAACCACAATCCCATTCTTGATCATGGTTCCTGCTAGCAGCCGTTAGTTCAGAGGTGTAAGCTGACAGTGGGGGAGGAACTAAAGTGTTACCCAGTCCAAGTGGAGCATGGAGGCGGACACCTTGAGCCTTCTCACGCTTACGCCATTTCGCTCGTCGGTTCTGAAACCAAACCTGTTTTGAAAAAGTTAACAGTATTCATCGCCTTTATATTGCACGAGAAACAATACTGAAGAGCCCAAAAAAACGATCGACCCTTTTTCACCAGATTTTGTCTCAATAAATGTTATTCTTGTCCTACAACCAAAGACAAATCTAAAATTAACATCAATTTTGCATAACCACGAGAATGTCGTTAATCGTTGTTTTGAAAACGAGAAATTTAATAAATTGGCAATATAGTAAGGCACTTAGCTTTTTTAATTTAAAGTAGAAACAAAAATTATCCATAGCAGTTTTGAATCAATGAAGTGTGACTTCTCACAGAGTTTTCGATACATTCACACTAATTCGGCCGCAGCAAGACGCCTTAAGATCTACTAACTACCGCAGTGCTGTGCAATCAACAACACTGAATAAACTGATTCGTGATACACCTTAAACATCACAAAATCTATCGACGCCTTTATTTGAATAATTGCCATTGGAAATTGTATTTCAAGTGCTTTGGAAAATTGCCATGTATATTAATTTCCTTGTTGTAATAGTTTAGTGATAGTCCTCCTTATCACCCATCACTAACAAATGCCTCTCATTTGTGGAGTTTAATTCGTTTCCACTTTTTATCTCTGCCAATAAGGAGGTTTGCGTCCGCAACTAAATTGGACTATTTAATTAGCCAAAGAACAAATCAGCTCATAAATTGCTCTTGTGATTTGAACAATACTGTTGACTGCTACTTAGCCCATCAGCCGGCCGGCTGTGTATATGGCACGTCAAGGAAACATTTGAGATATTCATACCTGAACACGCGCTTCAGTCAAATCAATTTTTATGGCCAGTGCCTCTCTTGTGAACACATCTGGATAATGAGTCTTAGAGAAAGCCCTTTCTAACTCTTCCAGCTGATAGCTTGTGAAGGTTGTACGGTATCGACGCTGTTTCCTAAGTTTTCCTGGTGAACAATTACTCTCCTGATCTTCTTCATCGTCGCTTTTCACTTTAAGTTCATCTCCACTTTTAGTATCATCGTGTTTCTGATCCGCTGAATTTGCTTCCGCATCGTTCTCTAAGGAAAAAAAACCCGGATAGATTGTGGTCTGCTGTTTTCAACGAAGAAAAAAGGGTGATTATTAGATTAAAAAAATTAAGACGATTTGTGTCTAATGCTAGTATGACAATTAGAACTAATCTTGAACACCATAATGAAATCATTTGGAAGAATCATTTTGCCTTGAAACCATTTCGCCTTTATGAAGCGAACAATGTGGTTAAAGCTCTCTTTTCCCAATTGAATCACAAAGATTTTAAAGTTACATATAAAAATAATTAAAGTGACGAGATATTGATGTAGTCCGCCCCAGTTAACGACAGCAAAATGCCACCAGTATTGAAAGGAAAATTCTGGCATGTGAAAAGGCGTTATACACCCAATTTAATTTCCAGCTTATTTGTAGACGACATCGAAAGATTTAAAGAGCTGTGTGAGCTAACAAGTGAGGCCGCTTATTCGCTACCTTGTTTTCTCTCTTCTGTGCTGTGACCCAGCTTACGGTCTACTGCTTCGTCGAAAACACGTTCCAGTTTTGTACGGTGTTTGTGTTCATCGTCTCGGTTGAGTCCCAACAATCCATCAATAGTGTAAGAGCTGGGTATGGCCTTAGTACTCATGTTTGGTGGACGAACTCTGGTAAATGGAATGCGTCAAGTCTTCCAAGTGTTTTAATAAAACCCTGTGGACAAATCGACCGCACGAGTAATTCTATTGGTGTAAAAGCAATGAAATTCTCAGCCGATAATAAAATTAATAAAACTACGAAAGTTCATTAGGGGACGTCATGATACTCAGCGCATATTCTTTACATTTGCAATTAGTTTAATCTCATTTGATCAAATAGCCGACAACAACGTGAAAATGACAGATTCCTCATTAAGTGTGTGACAAAACGATTCCTTTCATACGACAGTTTTCACGCGAACTATTCTGATGGAGGCATGATCTTCAAGAAACTTCACGGTTCGAGTTACGAGGTTAAGTGTGTGAAATAACCATGTTGACTCACCGGTACTGGGTTGTTTATTCGCTACTGCTCTCTCTCTTTCTCTCTCTCTCTCTCTCTCTTGAGCCACTTACAAAGTATTGATGATACGCCAGCGAGACTTTTCCCCCGCTTCGAATCATCTACGGGGTCAAGATCCGAACAAATGTTGCCGTTCACCGGTTATGACAGACCTCTTGTGACTTGTGTTCCGTCGTTAGAATATTTGTTAGCGACAAAATGTGTGTTATGAATTCTATCGCACGCTTTGAGGCGTAATCTTCAAATATTCTGTTCCAATAAATATAAATTAAAACCACATTCAACTGTAAATAGGTTTAACAGCTGATATCACCAGCTGCCCTGAACAATGACCCGGTAAGAAAAGAATATTGAAAACTTGCATCCATCTCAACATTTTGATTGGGTTAATTAATCACCATTTGTCCCCGTAATTAATTAATTAATACCGTTTATCTTGAGTCGATACAAGCTTCGCAGTGAACCAATCACAAAGCTTGCCCATTGAAGCGTTCGAGATGTGCCGCTGCCGAGAATTACACATTATCACATAGGTGTTATTACATGTTTACCTTGTGCCACAATTCGGTGCGCGGTATGCGTTATTATAATAACAATAAAACGTCCTTTTATCACCAACTCATTCCAATTTAATTAAACTAATAAGCCCGCAAAATGAATGTGGCCACAACCTAAATCCTCTAGTGAGTGGAATTCCTTAGCAAAAGAGCGTTCGTGCAATCGCGAGGATTAAAAGTCGTTTTTCCTTCGCGGTGTAAATGTTGAAGTCTCCAGCAATGATTTCCGCAAGTGCTTTTTCAACAATTAAGTTTGTTGTTCATGTGCGCGTAAACACCACGAGAAAAAGCAAATACGTGAACAATACGGTAGTGAATATTAATAGCATAATTGTGCGAAACGATCGGAATCAACAGTGATAATGTAATAACTATATTTTGTCAGACCAAGCGTTCGCACGAAATTAATCGAGTTTATAAATAAGGAATTGTACAGGAGGGGTTTTTATTTCCTTTTTAAAACGAACTGAAAACGATGTTATTGCAAAGATAATCACCCATTTTCTCTAAATGTAAGTGAATTGACCAGGTTATATCAACTAGGAAAGCTCAGATGTAAATTAAAAGCAGTGTCACTCCATACAAGTTTCACAAATGACGGGCCAGCAGGAAAGAAAACCGGCTTAGTGTGAACTTTCCACATTACTTTATTCCCTTAGAAACACTGTTAACGCCATCAGAGTCCTAACTAAAAAAACTAACTCGATAAAGATGGTTTAGGAGGGGAATCTTGCTTCGTGAAAATGACACAACAAAGTTTATTTGTCTACACTCAAGTGCAAGAAAAAGATTTCAAACAAACACTTCACCTGTGAGGATTTCAATATCCGCTATCACCACTCGAGTAAGTTTTGACGGTTATCTATTGTTGTCTTTCAGGGTCTCTGTCACAGCAAGTTGCTTAAGAAAGAAACAAAACTCAACGTGTGGGAAAAATGGTAAAATTTACTAATAAAATTCGGTACTATACAATGATCCATCTTTCGTAGAATTACAAAACATATTCCAGTAATTTATCATAAGAATGAGATAAAAGACAGAAAGGAAAGGAGAAAATTTCTTCCTCTAAAACCGCACAAAATTACAAAACAACGGTGGTTAAACATAATAGCATTTTGGCATCTCCAAATCTATACAAAACAAATCAAACGAAAAATTTTAAAAGTTCGGGCAAAATGATTGTCCACCGTAACATTCAGTTTGTTCCTTCCATGGCTAAACAAGAAAGAAACTAATCCTAGACAGGATGATTCTTTTCTTAACACTTCTTCTCTTCTCACTTGTTAGCGTGGGACTCTTGATCCTCGCACTAAATACATATGGATGTAATTCTTTAAAAAATCCTCTGGTTAGCCTTATTTACTCTGCCTCCTTTTACTATTAGCAAGGCAGTACGAGTAATATCACCCGCCTATGATTCCAACACATTCCAATGGGGCATCATCCTGTTGCTTGGACCCGGTGGGAAAGTCAAGCGGTGGCGGCCAGTAATTACCGCCATATGCTGACAAGATGAAATTCTTCTAATTAAATTACTTTGGTGAAACGGTCTCCTCGCTTGTGATTAGGCGACAGAGTTACTGCAGAAGACAATTCCATATTTCACGCACTCCCTCACAAGCCCTCTCCGTTCATTCTCTTATTTCGAAAGTGATCTCTCTCTGTCATGATTTGTTCTCTCGCACTCTCGCGCGTTTTCTCGCTCGCACTCTCGCGCGTCGTCTCGCACGCTCGCTCACACGCACGCATGCCTCCACGCACGCCCCCACGACTTCATTCTTTGGGAAGATTTCGAGTAGAAGGTTGGAAATCGCCGCCTAGCAGAATTTGAAGCCACCGGGAGGAAGATTATCTTTAGCTTGAAACTCGAACTGGCCATCCACTTCTGTTGGAGCTAAATCTTCGTCACCGTTGTCACCCTGTGCAGATAAAAACAGCAACAGAAAAGATTTTGTACAAGTAGACAGACAACGTGCAGCTAAAAAAAGAGTGTTAACAAAGAAAGCGTTAAAAGCGTTTAAAATCAGTGACACAAGCAGCAAGGCACTGTATTGACAACCTGAAGGTAGGTAACTGGGAATGACAGCTTATGATTAAAATGGAATTCAAACTAAAGAAGTAGGACTGAAAATGGCTTAAGGTATACAAGTTACAACATCTTATCAATCGAGAGAAATTACGCACAGTACTTTCAAGTACATCTAATATCTACACGGTTGTTTCACGGTGCTTTAACACTATAAAAATTTACCGGAATCCCACCGGTATTGTCATTGCTTATGCATAGCGAGTCAATTCAATCAGTGAAAGCGAGCAAGCAAGGTCTAGAAGTCACAAGGCAAAACAATCAACCACATGCTAAGAACCACAGAGCAAATCAAATCTGACGCTATGAGCTTTACATTCAATCCGCGTTTGTTCTGTCAAGCGTATTACAATGACAGGGCTTCACTGAACCGCAAACACAGTGAAGATCGAAAAATGTGAGAAATTAACAGAACTCTTACTTCGGAGCATTTTTAAATTTTCGGGAAATCAGACTTTCCCGTTTCTAATGAGTTGTTACATTTCCTTGATCATGGGCTCAGTGTAAGATCATATCAATTCATTTTTTTTGCCTAGTTTCGTGCACGGGTACGTAAATGTATATACAACCTTGCAGCTCGACAAACAAGCCTTAACAAGTCAACAGAACCAGAAAAGACACTATTCCGCTTGTGTTCCCGCTGTATCGGGGTTTCAAAGAGCTTTGCTTTAGTTTTAGACCTCTTTTGACACGGTCAAGACTGACAAATAACTATCATATGAGGGCATAAGCACTGCCACCCTTCCTTTTTTACTATTTTCACGGCCCGAAGAAATCGAAAAAAATCCCAGTGGCACTCATATAGGATGAACAAGTATGACTGAGTCTATGGCGAAAAATTACAGAGAGTATACAATTACTACAGCAGCTTCGCGTCTGGTTTATTTCGTGCTACACCATAACAAACGGAGCCTCATTAAAATAACAGAGAACATACCTCATTAGAAAAGTACTGATCTATTATTCCAAAAGCGAGTTTGTAGATTTCTTCATTTTCGTGTTGCTGGAGGAATTCAATCTTATCCAAACCTGGAATAGGACAGATCAAATTATTCTGAGGCCGCGATACGGTTGCTGAGTTAAAGTCCGACTTCCATATAGCGCTATCTTGGTCCCTGTACTACCATGAATAGCGCATGGCACCTTGCAATAATCGCTCCTTTTCTCTCCTCTACCATGCTCAGTAAGGATGAGTGAAAAAGTGGGTAGCGTGAATTGACGGGGTCGTCGCTCTCCTTAGTCCCACACATTTTTCCTCCCGCTCGCCCACTTTTTCGCCCGTCCCCACAAACTAGGTGCCTGCAACAGCCTCACTAACAGGTTTGGCTGTTCAAATCCTTCCTTTGGACTAGAAACTAATTTTCAAACTGGATGAAGCGACAGCGACTGTATTCCCTTAGACGCTTAACAAGACCCTCTTCTCGGCTACATTCACGATGAAAAGCGAATTCAACGTGAAGCTCCGTTTTAAATAACTTAAAGCAAGAAAAGAATGAAAGAAAGTCTTCGTCAAGACTACTGAGGAAGAGGTCTTCTAGCGTATTGCTACTAATTTTCAAACACTAAACTACGTGAAAACGGTGGCTGCTATTACGCGAGGCGGTGAATTACTCTGTGAGGACCTTTAATTTTACTTCGCGAAATCAAGCAAAATTGAGTTACGTATGTTCCTTAAAAGCTAACTGTTTATCTTCTTATAAGACAGGACCGATTGAAAAAAAGAGACAAAACTTTTTAAAACTGTAACATTCAGCCACGTCTAACAAAACAAGGTATTTCAAACTAGTGATCTCGTCATCTAGGAACACAGATCTAGTCCATTCTGTCAACGAAAATTCCGCCTGAGACCCAAACTGTTCATAAATGCCTGCTTCATGCTTAAAAATTAGACCCTGTTCCAATCTCTCGAAGTCGCAATAACAAGTGCAAATACCAAGATATTAAAGTAATTTTTGTTTCTAAGGCACTCTAAGTATACGTTTGTTTGCATGCCTTATTCCTGCCAGTCTGCGCTAAGAAGTATAGAGGAATGCATGTACTTGCATTAGGACAACAACTAATGTTTTGAAATCATTTCAGTATTTAACCTCCAATACAGATCAAATTTGGGTCGCCAACTGTTTTTGTCCTTTCCAAGTCCAGGAGACACCAAAATTGAATCTGTAGTCATGATATCAATACAATTTTAATCACTGGGGAAGAAATGTATGGTGAGACAGTGCAGTGAGGAGAAATTATTTTAGATCAGTCTTACGATTGAGAAGTTTTAACGTAAAACTACAAACCTTACTTCTGTCTTGAATTGTTGTTAGTTATTGTCATTTGTAACTAAGCTATACATGTATATACCAACCTCCAGCTTCTTCTATAATGGTTGCGATAGCATCAGACCTGTCCCCTGCCATCTGCAACAACATACCAAAAGATTTAGTTCAAAGATTACTCAAAACAAAACTCTTTTTCTTACCTTTTTAGCTGGCCTTGTCCTGCCAGCCTACGTACTCACGTATCCATTATCCTTCAATACGCAGGTTACGATGGCGAAAGAACACAATTTCGGTCATCAAGACAACGTTACTTAACATGTTTCAAAACCTTTTCAAGTTTAAACCCCTAAAAGTTAGTTGTGACAATTCTTGATTGAAAATTGAATCAGCAGAGTATAAACCAAAGGCTTACAGCGTGTCTGAGTCAATAACTGTGTGTCTGCTGTGAAGTGTGACAGAGAGAAGTTTCTCACCTTTAAGATATTATTTAAACCATCCAACACAATCTGGACGACCTGTTATGTAAAGCGTGTCACCATTAATATAAATTCACAAGCGGTAATGTCTTATTCATCGATACAGTGGTTCAACTACGAAAAAAAAACCACACACACATATATCTTTCTGCATCAAAGGACCCTTGTGGTTAGTCGTGATACAAATAAAGATTGAAGGCAGAAATGATGTGGCTGTCGAAAACAGCTTCCATTCAGCCTAGACCACGAGAAAGAACCAAAAGATTTTGCAAAGTGATGTTGTGTTGTCCAGGTTTCTAACAAAAATAGCTGTTAAAAAACTACACTCCGTGGCAGCAGCACCTACTTTTCCTTAAGAGTTTGCATCGTTGTCAGTTAATTTTGCTGATCTCAGATCTCACTTTGAAACGCGTTACTTCTAAGGAGTCAGTTACCCATTCCGAGCTACAAGATAAGCCACAGCAAGAATCCAGACACACAAAGAGAATATGGGCAAGCTTTATGCGCTAATGAGTCATAACAACAAGCCCCCACGTTTCGATGGCAAAGCATGCACACCATTCGCCGCAAAGCGCGGGCGCCAACATGTCTTCCCATTTTTACCTGGGTATCCATGCAATCCAACAACTTGCAGAATGGAGGAATCGCACCACAGTTTACTAGGACTGCTACCTAGACTCAAACAGAATAACACAAGACACTCTCATCCAATTAATCTTCCATTGATTTCGTAAGATTTTGTCCTTCACCATCCAAGTGGTATTTGAAAATACATTAGACATACCCTAGAATGTTTACCACTTCCAAACCTCCGGAACGAGGACAATAGGGAAAACCAGCCTTACTTTCCATGTGTCCACAAGTAGCCCAGGCTCGCACTTTGAGCCTCTATAAATATGGAAATACTGTTACAGCTGCGGATCACAAGCTGTTAGCATGTGTGCAGAGGCTTGGGCTACCTGTGTCATGGGCACAACTATGCGAATTTGTAAAGGTAGCAAATGTTCACCTGTTGAGGGTTGCCGCTCACTGTAAAATTACTAATCGCCCATGCTGCCTCCTTCTGCGTCAGAAATTCGCCCTAAAAATTAAAGAAAAAACGAGAAAATTGGATATCAGTTACTTCCACAAATTATCCTTAATGGATGGAATACCCATGGAATGTTAAGGTAATGGTAAAAACAGAGCTAAATTGTATTTCTAGTTTTAAAAAGGCTAAGTCATTGAATCTATCACCAATCGAATATTATAGTTACCGTTTCCAAAGTTTGAATAATCAGTGGTACAAGCCCTGCATTAATAATTTCCTAAAATTCAAAAGAGCACGTTGATTAAGCCACTAAAATATTACATTAGTCAACAAAATAGACGAATTTTTTTCCTTACATTTCATGTAAAACAAGTAATCTGATCGTCCGGGTAGTCCTGAGAAGGACTGTTGAAATATTGTTGACTGACGTTTCGACAACCTAAGTGGAAGTCGTCATCAGTGTTATAAGTGACAGAGTATTTTACGTCTAGTTCGCGTAAACTGGTTGGTCAGTTTACCCGTGATGTTATTGACTATAATACTCGTGTGGTGTAAGTCGGACTGACATACTACACATGTATACACTACATTACGACCCAAACCGCTGCTTGTTCAGCCTAGCAATTTTTTATCAGCTTGCTTCGTCGGCGTTTTCCGTTTCCACCCAATCAAAAAAAGGTTCCGTAATTCTTAAGTAGTTTTTTTGACTGATCCTCTCTAATGGATTACTACATGAATAGTCGGCAGGGGTCATTTACCTGAACTTGCGTCTGATTGCCAGCTGTTATGTTGGACAAAAACCAAACTGCCTCCTATTCAATACAACGAATGATCGTGAGGTTTCTTTGGATAAAAGTATGTAAACAAGGCTATGACGTTTTTTTTTAAGGAATACTTCTTAAAAGTAAGACAGCTTTAAATTACCAGGGGCGGAGGGAAGGGGTGGAGGACTTCCATACAGTAAAGCGAACCCTTAATTGCGTCTCTGGTTTGCATGATTGACTTCCTACACTCCAGTGTTTGGATAAGGGGTGTGAAAGCACGGAAAAGTCTCTATTGCTCAAATAAGCTAATCGCAAGTTCATACCAGGAGTATGTCTAGAATTGTTCCTCAGTTTATATCAGCGAAAATAGAGTTAATGTATTTACAGTTAATGCCGAGTAAAGATAAAACTAATATTTTAAAGAAGTCAATCATAAGCTTGAGTACAATATGGAGGTTATCATAATCAAGGTCACCGCAGGTTTTTGTTCTGTTAGTATACTTTTGCGCAACTATAGTTCGCCGTTTTCTGCGCACACAAGCCATACATCCTGTATAAAGTTTGTATTTAAGCTTTCTGACCTTTTTTACTTTCTCCTTGTGGTGATTAAGTAACGCTGGGAAGTGGCTCAGGGCGTCATGGTTTAGGACAACCTGACGAAAAAGGAAAAAAAAAGTAAGTTTAGAAACAAAAGCCTCCATTGAGTGCAAAAATATGCTTAGACATCTGATCGCAAACATTATCTGTTCCGAGAAGCGAACAGTTTTCCGAGAGCGAAGGTAAAAGAAATAGGACAGCTTCAGGAAACAGATATGACATAAATATGAAAATATTTTTTAACCAAATAGAGACCAATATGTTTTCTATCCTTCAAACACTTATCTTGCTTAATTAGCGGTGTTTTGGTCGTTCGATGAAACAAAAGGGAGGCGGAGCCGCGAAAACGACCAGCGGAGAATCAGCAATTTTTTCATACGATTTTCCCGTCTCATGCCTCTCGGGGCTTCGCCGCTCGTTTCACAGCTCCGCCACTTGATGATAAAAAGCATACATCTTTGCACCGCGTTCAATAAAATTTTACCAATAGCGTACAGGCAAACTTTTAACAAGTAAGACGTTGATTTTTCGGTGTTCTTACGTAAAACTCAACGATCCAAAAAGTTTGTGTATACTTTTGTAACAAAAAAAATCCCTTTACCATCACGAATCACATCTCAGACAGGAACTTTATTCGGATGAGAACCAAGGTTTGCAATTTGAGGAATAACATCTAGAGAATATCAACTATGACATTTTCAGTCACGTAATCCGATGAAACCATCGGGCGCGAGCTTAAATATGTAACGGATTACATAAACCAACATTGCTTACATGGTGTCTAGGTCTAAACTTACAACTTACAACTTACTTGAGTCTGTTCATCGGTCCCAGTGACAATGTTTCCCACTGCTCGTAATGCTGCAGTCTGGGTTACAGAGAGTGGACAACAAATAAAGTCAACAGCAAGGCTCAGTAAAATCCTTAACCTCTAATAGCACTAATTTTAACGATTGACTGGAGAAAACGACTCAAATACTTGCGATTTTTTTTAATGTTCTTAAAACAAATATACTTTGGTATTAATTTGCTGCAAACTGATGCTTCAGCTATTGCCATGTCGTTTCCATGTACACGATTGATAACGCTTTTACTTACCTGTAGTTTTATTTCACCATGGCTCAATAGGGGTATAAGGGATGGAACAACTCCATTATCAATAACTTCCTAAAAGTTAACCAAAGGCAGTTTAGTAAATCCCTACGTCAAACTAGATCGTACTTCTCACAACTTCCCAAAATATAGTTGGAAAAATTGCCTTTTAACTATGGAAACCTCCAACGTTTTTTGGAGATATACTTCCGTAAATATGTCTACTCTGGTGTTTTATCAGAAGGGGGGAGGGAGGGGAGGGCGTAAGTTTACACCTTTGAGAAGACTGATAAATAAACTGAATGTACGAGCGTTGATTGTCACCCGCACTGCATTTAGAGCCAGAAAATATCCGTGGTTAAGAGAAAAATATCGACAAGTCAAAGCAGGACCACGTGCAAGCGATTATCCGTCTTTCTTTCTCAATCAATGATTATTAAAGAGCGTTGGCTGCCAAATTGACAAAACCCCCCACGAATGCTGGCCGCAAATGGACGCCACATAAACAGAACTTGTTTCGCGCAGAATATATTGCTACTGAACATGAGAAATCGACTTTACTTTTAACATTTACTAAAATACTTAATTTATTTAACGTGAAAAAAAATCCTTATTAGTATGGGTGCGAAACGAATCAGCTGACTGGATACGAATGGTTCTGGCTGGGTAAGAATCGACTGGGTGCGAAACGTCCGTGGGTACGAAACGACTTTTAAGAAAATATTAGTTTCCTACCTGTTTATTGATTGACTAAACTAAAGACCGCGAGTATCAAAATTAAATGCAGGTCGAGAGTGAACGGAAACGAAACCTTAACCAGTGCACGCATGAAATGTGTTTTTCTCCTTCAGCAGCTTATGACACGGACCTGAATCTGTTATTAATTTATTTTTCCTCTTCTTACAAACTTTCACTGTTATCTTTTGTTAATAGCGTTGTAACCATTTCCACAACGTTGACTACATTCACCATTAATACCTGAATTTGGTGATTACCGCCATCTGTGAGATAAGACAATGCCCAGACTGTGTCAACTAAGATCTGAAATACAATTGGGCAGAAAAGTCAAGAAACTTGTTGACGATGGTAGATTAGGATTTCAAACAGGAAAAATCAAAAGACTTAGGAAGACATTGCCAGCTGGGACGGACCACACCAACGGAACAGTGACATGACACACCTTACAGAGTGTTATCTACGTGTGCTACCTGCGTGAGCCGAATTTAAGTGTTTATATTTTAAAAGGCTGGTTGTGATATCCAACTGGCCTGACCTAATTGCACCCCAACCATAAACAATAAATGCCCACACCTGCCTTGAGCACAAAACCCTCGTTATTGATGATGACTACCTAGTTGGAAAATACTGGTAAATTATCCAATTTCTAACCAGGGTCCATCATTATAATCCTGGCTATGATGGAGAATGGTATTAAAGCCATTTTGTCATGAGATATTGATATCTCTAGAATAAAGCACCAAGTGACTTAAACATCTCGAGTCCACCCTAAAACAAACTCTAAACAAAACTGAACAAAACTGGCAGGCATTTCACGCATTTCAGCAGACTAAATCCATAATGAACCCTTTAACTACCAAGATGAAATTCATAATTTTCCCTTCAACCTGCCAAATATTACCTTGTAAATTAGTTACAAGAATTTGATGTTAGATCAAGATAACCTCTACCTGATAAGTTGAGTATTCTTATCAACTGTTTGCGGGATGAGGTGTGAATATTAAAGGAAGAGTAACATTTTTATCACTTCTGCAAGTTTAAGGTTAGAACCATGAAGTCATTTTAACAAAAACCTCCCTACTCACATTTAGATCTGGGTGATGAATGAGGAGAGCTAGTGCAGGAAGAACCTACAAATAACAAGTACAACAATTCACGTTCAGCATTATAGTGAAGTTAATACAAAAAAAAAGGGCTATCTATAAAGACAATTAATAACTCATAAGTAAGCTGGGAGACTCTAACGTAAGCCAACGTCACACTAATCCAATTACATTGGAATGTTAAGGGAGCTATCCTTACAAAAACCATCCTGCAGGAAGGTTTTCTTACCACTGCACAGGATTAAGTTACCTCTTGAATTGTTTCCATTGGGGGTGGTGGTTCTTTGTTTCTACACAGATTAACAATCACCCATGTCACATTTCTCAAGAAACTGATCTGTAAATTCGAAAGATATTAAATGATAAGAAGAGGAACAAAGCAATACAGAGGTTGACACAAAGAAAAACTACAACTTCATTTCTTTGAATTTCTTAAAATGTAAAGAAAAGTTTTCACATATCAAAATATAACTAGAACTAAATTTCAGCTCAACTTCTTTTTAAAAATTAAAAACTTACAGGAACATTTGGGTTAACAAACTTCAGCAGTGGAGCCACTACTCCATGGTTAATGACAAAATCTCTTAAATTGGGACCATCACCTGGAAAAAAAAACATGTAAAACCAAGTGACCCAGATCAAAGGAACAAAGTCCATAAATTTATGTTGTGGTTAAAAGTTTTACATTTCTTTTCCATGCAAGTTTAATTTCCTTTGTCTTACATCAATAAGCATAACACAAGCACTGTATCAATCCAGGAGCACGAACTATAGATAAACCTTTTATGTAACTCTTACAAGAATTTAATTACTTTTAACCTCTATCACTTATTGGACAAGTGTTCAGTATTCTGACCAAAGTTTATCTTGAGTCCCAAGGAACTTTGGGAAATGTTAATTCAAACTCTCAACAATGCACTTTCAACAATTTTTTTGCCAAAATTACAGGTGAAATAACTCGCTTGGGATGCTGGAAGAACAAAGTCAAAGGTTGTTAGTCACCAGCTCAAGGCAAGTGATTTACAAACTTTTCGAGTGTTCTCCCAACATCCCAAGTTGGTTAATACCCTAGGAAACTGATAGAAAGTGTGGTCCATTACTTTTCTAAATTAAACTGAAATCAGAACACAGAATATTTCAATTTTCTATAAGTTTACTAGTGAAATAAACAATAGGATATTTAACAATCATGACCCTCAAGGTATCTTGAATAAACATCTATTAACTCTTACCAATAATGTTCCCTAGTGCCCAAACTGCTTGCTCACACACATTCTGATGTGGAGAACCAAGTAACTTCATGAAGTACTTAACAGCATCTAGGACCAAATAGAGTGATTTTAAAACTGTCACTTTTTCAATCATTATATTATCTTCTAATAGTTTGGTTAAGTTAAGCTGGGTTAGGTTTCCTAAAAAATAAAACAGTAAACAAGTTGATGAATGCACCAGCAACAGAAGTTGTAGTATTACTGTTCATACTCACCAGCTTTCACTACAGCCTTTGTTTGTTCTGATGTACCTGACGCTATGTTGGTTAAAGCCCAAGCAGCTTCAAACTGAAGAGAAGGGCTGAGAAGTGGAAGAGAGGGAAGAAGAAAATCAACCACAGGGTTTAAGTAACCTTTTTATCCAGGGGCTTCCAACTGCCAAACAAATGGCTGTGACCTTGACATGAGTCATACAAACTTATAAAAATAGAATCAAAACAGAAAATGGCAAGAGTTCTTTATGCAGTGGCAGACTTCTGCTAGCTCATTGAAACCCCTAATAATAATCAGAAAATTAAATCAATGAGAGATAACCTTCCCAACACCACAAAAATCAAAAGCACCCTTATTATTGTACGCATTTAAAGGTACATGTATTTACGTAGTTGTAGTAATAAGGAATAGTCAAAAGTGTCTGCTCACTACAGTGAAAGAGACAAACAAAGGTAAATTTTTGTTCTGTTTGTGCTGAACAGCCTTCAAAGGTTTGTAAATAATAGTATGCAATGATTCATGTCAGAATCAGTAACTGAATTTTCACTGGGCAGATAAAACCAGCTCACAAATATTTTGGTCTAGCTGACAGTGCTACATGAAAACCTTCTTATAATTTAGGCAACAGGTATTTTGTTTCAAGTGATACCCAGTATTTTCATAGAGCCAGCTTTTAAGTCTCTATCATGTCTATTTATTGTCCATATACAATAAAAAGAAAATTACACATTAGCTTAAAGATATGAATTTTATGTCAAACATAAAATTCATCTTCTTGCCACCATGCAATATCCTCTATTTAGTACACTGTTGAACAGGGGAAAAATACAGACAGCAAGCCCACAAAACCAAAAAATTTTGAGGTCATCGGAATATTTGTTGGTCATAAAGAACACTTATATGATACTCAGATAAGGTTGTAGCATGTATTCCGAAAAGTAGAACCCAAAACTTCAAAATTGAGGTGAAATAAATGGGGGAATGGTAAATCCCTTACATCATTTGATGAGTTAACAATTTATTTTTTGTTTACACATACGATCAACTTACTTGTCATCTCTTTCAAGGCATTTTACAAGAACTGGGAGAATGCCAGACCTAAATGTAGAGTGTAGAAATGAAAATGAATTGAACATTGAATTGACACATTTCAAATACTGGTTATGTATTAACCAATGAAATTACATCACTCTGTAACACCACTAATTATGTACTGTAGGAACATTTATGCCCACTTTGTCAACATACCATTCAACCTTCACTAAAAGCCAACCTCTTTAAAATACCTGTAAAAATGCTACTTCTTTGTCCCAGTATACAGAACATGCTTTCACTCTCATTTTAGAAAAATAAAACCAATCATCCTTATGGTGGTAACTTCTAACTACTGGAGCATGTCCCAACTCTCACCAGTGTGAGTATACCTTAGTTACAATGCCCTCTCAATATCTTAAGGCTAATATTCATTTATATTGCTGAGCTTTGAACATATAATTAATTTTCCTAACATTGGATTTTCAGGTTTGATAATAACTAAAACAAAATATATTTAAACTTACTCTATCAGTTCATCAATGGGAGGATTGCGATCTTTAGAAAGTAGTTTCCTAGCAAAAAATTTGAAAAGGTATTTAAACAAAGCTTAAATTTAAAAATCCAAGCATCACAATGCAGTCCTACAGAACATTGGAGGCAGACACAAACATAGTTACTCAAAAGAATTAACAACAATGCTCAGTGATTGATGCAACCAATCTTTTGTTGGCAGTAATAGATTTAAAATCTCCAAAATTCTGCCAAAACAACTTATAAAAATATTTCAGATACCAAACCCATTTGAAGTTTGCAGTATTGTAAATTTCCCAGGCTGCTCTTGAAATCAAAGCTGCTGGGACCTCTAACAAGACACAGTACAGTAGATAACATATGTACCTTGCTGCTTGTACAGCACCAAGTTGCTCTTTGGGGTCTTGACTACTTGCATTCTAGACACGATAAAGTTACATGTGACTAATTGACTCAAACATAATGATCCAGACTGGCCAGTTACATCAAGAATGGAAAATGCATGCCTACATGTAATATATAGCTTAAGTTGTCTTTCATTATCTCCTGATAACTTGTCAGTGCCTCTTTAAATAAAGTTGTTACTTACTTACTTACTTACTGAAAACATTATCATACAACAACATTACAGTTTTTATTTAACAAAGAAATGCAAGCTACTCTGTATAATGTGGGTGTGAAGAGGTAGAGAGTATCTCCAAACTTAATCAGAGGCAAATCAATCATGTGGTGAATTTTCAATCAAGTTTTACACTTGATTGAAAATTGCTCTGATAATCACACAAAAAAACCATCAATACTTTTTATTTTACATATTAGTAACTAAAATATTAAGCCAAAATCAGTAATCGACAAACAGGCCAGTTGAAGTACATTACACTATTTTTGTTCACAGTAAGCAACAAAAACTTACCACAACAATACTCTGCAGACTCTTTCCCTGTTAAAATACAAAAAAATATTACAAAGACAGAAAGACTGATGGATAAAAAGATGGACAAATGGATGGAGAGAGATGGATAATACAGACATGCCCACGCTACAACAGCTCACAAACTACTTTTAAACTGCAACTCCTGTCTGACTGAGAAATTTATGGCCATTTGCAATAGAGGATCCATGGTCAGAAGATGATTAACAAAGTTGAATTTTTCAATTAGCCTTTTCCTCCATAAATTTTTCCTTTCACCCTGCATATTCTGTCTAAAGCCTGGACATAATAAATATCCACATTAAGAGCTATGTAATAACCTGTAGGTGATCCTCTTTATCATCCACAATATCCTGTGGGACATTTCTCTTCTTTTGAACACAGTCATCTCTTTTGGCCTGTTTTTGATACAAATTAACCAGTAAATTAAGATTAAGTATTAGTTAATTTAAGGAATCATAGAGGGAAAATTAGCGTTTTCAATCAAACTGAGATAGCAAATATCAGCCAAGAATAAACTCTTCAAAGATGGGAACTCAAGCCAAATATTTTGTAAGAAAAATTTGTAAGAGTGTTCGAGAAAATATATGCAATCCTGTTAAAGTTTTCCTATGACTCTTTGTTACAGTCGCAGCTCTTACTTCATGCTTGATTTAAGACATTTCAGTATCAAAATAGTCTAGATTTAGAACGTGAGTAAAAATAAATAAAACAAAAACATTTTGTTGTACTTGTAGGTATTACCCCCTACCCCACTGTAAATGTGCAAAATATGAAAACTGGAAGTGAAATTACTCCTTACATTGGCAAGAGCATGAAGCAGCGAAGAGAGAAAGTGAATGCCCTTAAAAACAAATACAACAAGAAACCTTTCTTAGCTCTATTGTGACTTCATTCCTCCTTTGTCTTAGTGCCTGAAAAAAGAAAAGAAGAAGAAAGGCATGTCATGTTAAGAACTCCTTGTGCAAGCTATACCTCACTACAAAATGAGAAATTTATTACTTGACAATACAAACTAATAACAAATTGCACTCCTTCCATTCAACTCAGCTCCCAGCCTGCCACAGACTGGTGCAAACTCCCTTTCTTCGCAAAAAAGAACAAATCACTGAATCAACAATGATAGTTCAGTAAACAGAGTGTACCATGTACAGTGTATTTTCTACTGTACATCATCTTTAAAGATATTTGTATGTGAAAATTTAAATCCAGAAAACTGAATGGCTCCAAGTTGTGACCTTGGAAAGTTATAATTCTAAGGCAGTTTTTCCTGAAAACAATATAAACATCATGATACACTTGCTGTCCTACAGTGGTCTTCACAAGAACTATCTTGTTGACACTTCAAATTAGTAAAATCTTTTATCATGTAAACTGCAGTGTTATAGAAGGATTCCCAACCCTGAGAAAAGCCTGACAACAAATGTGAAAAATAAAATAATTTTTCATGCATTTGATACTGCCAATCAGCTGCTGGCACATCACTTGCCTGTCATGCCACTCTGTCATGTTGAAGAATGAATGGCAAAGCATTTGCCATTCATTATCCAAGGTTGTATGTCTAAATTTTCTTGGATTATGGCTGCTTAAACACTTAAAAATTGGTATCACTTACAGACAGTGACCTTAAAAATTTCTTAGAAGGAGAAGGAAATAAAAATACAAAAGGAAACACAGAAAGTTTTATACTCAGTGGCTTTGGTAATGGCATTTTCATGGCTGAGAATAAAATAAACAACTGGAAGATTTGCCACGGGCGGATTTTGACTATGTACCTGAAAAGATTTCTTCTGTATATAAGGAAAAGGTCAATAACTGAGAATTTCATGAATTGTGCTTATTTTTGCAAATTAACATAACCTTGCAATACAACCAAATTAATCCTGCTGCATCAAAGATTCATCATGGACAAACCAAATCTTTAAAAGTACATTCCACATCATGACAGATTTGTTTGACAGAGCTATGGCTTTCAACCCTTCAAGCTGATGCTACTAGTAATGTATGAAATTAAAAACAAACTGTTGTATATCTGCTAGTACAATAACCATCTTCCAGTATTAGGATAGGAAATATCTCACAAGACATCAAAAAACAACTAACCAACAATCTATTCAGCGTAGAAGTCTTTATGAAAGCTATTGCCCCTTACCAAAAGGTATCAGATAAGAGTGGCTAATAGTGCAGGTTGGTTTTAAACCAAAACAGAGCAACCAGAAGAAAAGAACAAGAACAGGAAAAGGAACATCACATGGCAAAACCCTTTGGTGCATTTAAAGGTAAAAACTAACACTGGATAAAAGTTCCAATTCACAGTCAACAAATGCTTCCTGAAAGACTATGCACCATACAAGATCTACACCAGACACAATCTGACAATCAGCTACTTGTGCATCCTACATAGGAAAGCCATGACTGCATCATAGAATCAAAACATACAGCACTTGGAAAAAACCAGCAAACACAAGCAACCACAGAAAGAAAAAACAATACTTACAAAAGGGAAAATGTAGAGAGACCAACCTGGCATACCAAAAAATTTTAGCGAAAGAAACAACTACAGACTCACACATCAGGCTAGCCACAAATTTTGGGAACGCCGCCAAAACCATGAGACAAAACAGAATTTTCACAAACACAAATTTTCACTAATGGAAGCAAACAAACCTTATCAAATAAAATGAAAGTACTTAGTGAATGAAAAACATACGAAAATGTAAGTAAAAAAAAATTCACAGGAGACCTCATGAAAACTTTTAACTATTTGTAGGAAAAATCTGTGCAATGAGGTACACACCACTCAGTACAAAAAACAAGAACGTGAACGGGCTGAGAACTCCTACTTCTCGTAAGGTAGTAATGATCAGTTATGTCCAGTAAATCGAAAAACCATCTTTGATGGGGTATAACTCTCGTGGCTATAGTTACAACTTGTCGTGAGTGAACACATGCTGCACGATGCAGCTGTCGCATGCCGACACTCATTCAAATTCACCCGCCAACAGTGAAACATCAGAAAATAGATTACTCACCGATTGATCTTTGTCTTTGTTTTTGTAATACCTCTGCCTCGAATCTGTACTCTTAGAGGACATTGCGGTTGTTTGAACGATCTTAATGAAACGTGAAGTCTTCACCGGCAGCGAAAGTCCGCCATCAGTATCTCATACAATGTCTAACTTTGCTTGCCTCCAACGCATAGCCAAACCCAGAACTCAACTGACCGCATCTCAGCCGGCTCAGCCTCTTACCGAGTCGTCCATAGAAAAAAACTAACCGAGAGGCCCCTAGGTACGAGTTTAAAAATAGCCGACGCTTTACCCCACACTCTCCCTCCGCTACGTCTCTCCTTGCAGGGGAGGATACGGTTACACGTGGGCCAGAGTATGGCGGACAGTTTACCAAACACGAAGTGTGCGATGTGTTGTGAGGACACTGCGAGATATTGCTGTCCCACATGTGCCAAAAAAACATGCAGGTAACGGATTTTGTAAAATTACGATCTGTTAGGGACACATGCATGTATACTAGCTTGTTTCAAGACAAGAAATGAGTAAGATCCGTCTGAATGTAAAGAAACTTACACGAGGAAGGATTTGTTATTTTTTCGGCTAGAAACTGAATTTGTCAATAAATAGATAAAAAAAATTGCTGACCTTATTCTGTGATATTTGTAGAATCACGGTTTTTACTCCACAAATACTTTAATAGTTAACTTTAAGTACAACCAGTTATTTGTTGTGATTAACTTCTAGTCTAAGATGTGTGAAGAGTCACAAGATGAAATTTCAGTGTTCAGGAGTACGTTGTAAGACCAAGTTTATATCACTTGACAACTTCAAATGCAGTAACTTACAATCGGGTGAGTAACCTTCTTTGTCACAAAATCTTAGTGATAGGTGAAATTTTAAAATTCTTTTAATTACATGTGTATGAAAATCGCTGATATCACAAAATGGGTTGTGGTGAATATTCACGTTACAAATAGTTCCAGATGGGCTTCCATGGTCATTGAGGGCTATACCAAAAACAATTGCTTTTCATGGATTTTAAATAATCTTAAGACTTAACAAGGTACAACAAGGTTTGTTTTTAAATCAATCAACACTTTCAAGTTAGCATGTCATGAAAACAAAAATAAGTTAAACAACTTATCATCCTTTATGATCATTTCTATTATCGTAATTACCGGTAAGCATCTAATGTTAGGGCCAATAAACAGTGAAATACAAACCCTGAACCACTTTCATTTGGAGAAATGAGTATGGTAAACACAGGGGTATGAGTGGTTGATAAATTAGAGAAGGGAAGTAAAAGTAAAATAGATAATCTACCCTTGCGACCAGATGCCTCTGACTGTCCAGTTTGTAGTTTGCATGTTGTATATATGTGATTCCCGGAAATTGCTAACAAATTGCTTCTGCTTTATAGACCTTGTGTTTTTGGAGGACATGGACAGACTTGTGAACTCTACAGCACATCATAGTCAAAGCAAGTTTAACAGAAGACATCAGAACTTCCAGGTGGGTGTAGTTTTGTGTTTGAAAGTTAAGTGAAGTTTCCTTGCTGTGCTGATGATACCAGGACTTCACTGAGATTGGTGTCAAGTATGCAAAAAATAATACTTCAGAGTCCATATGCATAGGCCAAACAACTTGCATTTCATCACATACCATGAAAACAGCATTCAAAGTCCAATCAGAACATACCCAATCATTGCACTGCATGAACATTGGGCAATTTTTCACATGCTTGAATTGTATTCCACCAATCAAATTCCATTTTGCCACATAGGACTTTGCTCAATCACGTGTCATTTTCTTGTAAACAACCTGCATTTTATCACGTATTCTAAGTGCATTGTCCAACCCCACTGAAAAAAATTCACATAGATTAAATGCTATTGATATTGTGTTTTCCACACAATCCTCCCACATTTAACTTTTTCCACAATTTAGAGTCACTTTAAGTTACCTTGGACTTTACCCAATTGTGCGTTAATTCCATCTAAAACAAGGTCCATTTTATCACATAATTCACACAGAGAGGGTAAAGTCCAGATAGACAACAACCAATCAAGGGTCTATTAAAGGTACAACAAAGTGTCAGTTTGCTTTTCATAGTAAAATTACATGGAATTATATTTTTGAGGTAACTAACCATAGACGAATAATTTTGATTTTTTCTCTGTTGGAGGAATGGCAATAAACGTAGTCTCTTTTGCAAACAGTATTTGGTCTTGTCACAGAACATGCTCTCTCTCAAACGGGAAATAGAGGGCATGGTGTTACAAGACCAAACAACAGCTGCGAAGGAGACAACAGTAAACAATAGAGACAGTAGATCACATAATATCTGTGTGAGTTCAGATAAATTAGGTTTCTTATGTCTTTCAGTGATATTTTCATTTTTTGAAAGTTATGCTCTTTTCAGCAACAAAATGAAAATGTTAAGTACAGAAACTGTCCCACTCAACTCACCCAGCTGAAAAAATAACTCTAGCGTGCTAGGCATGCCTATGTTTATTGTTAGTAACGATAACTGACCTTTTGACAACTTGAGTGAAGGTTGGTTTCAGATTCAAATGAAAACTGGTTTGTCTACCTAATTTTGTAGTTAACTACCCAATAATGATCATTTAGTATTTTTCTTAACACTTAAACCCGTAAAAAAAAAGTGCAATTTTACAAGAAATTATAAATACTGACCTCTACAGCATGCCCTTTACAAGCTACTGACTGGTAGACTTCAATGATTACATCATACAGCAGTTAAAAAGGAGGTTTTCATTTTGATAGAACTGACTTAAAAACAGAGAAAAATACTGAAAAATGTGCAAACTTGTGAAAGTCATAGGAGTGTCCTTAGACTGTGCCTCATTTCTAAATTCCTTATGTTTGGCTGTCTATGATCATAATTTTACTTCCTTAGGGCATTCAATGTAAAAAATTTGAGTAAAACTTTATTTAGTCAAACAGATCTAGATTTAATGAGACTAGAAAAGTGATTCAATGTGTGCAGCCACCTGTTATTGTTTAGTATCAACTTATGCAGGAGCAGGTTCCCTCTCAACATCAACAAGTTATGATCCCCAAACCATTTTCTGTTAATAATAGAGTGCTTTTCAATTGAGTATCATAATAATCACAGCAACCAATCGTGACAAAGGAAAATATCCTAAAGAGCTTATGAAAACTCAAATTGAAAACAAGCTAGCTGCCAAAAACACAGGGAAATGTAGGTAACCAAGTCATGATAGGGTTTTGTTTTGCATCTGATTGGTTGAGAGAGATCAAGAATCAGAGAACAAAGTTAAGCAAAATCAATCCCATCACTCTTCCTATTTGTCTGATTACTCTAAATTGTTTAGGTTAGGCAGCTTTGTCTTGTAGCAAAGCAACGTGGTGTGGATTTAAAGATCTTGCCAAATGGAATGTCTAGGAGGAAGGAGAATACAACAAATTTTAACAGAAAGTAAGTAACTAAGTAATATACATTACAGGCAATTTCTTTACTCGCAACAGCTCACTGGAGAGGATTGCTATTTACTGACAGATTGTTAATAATTTATAGTTCCTAGTTTTCACATTTGACCATTCACTACAGATAAGCTGTCAGTTGTGAATATGGTGGTATACAGGGCCACACTGCATGCATGCTTCCATGTGCTGCAAGCTCTGCTATAATTTTTCAGGTTTAAACTGCTCTACCCTCCACCTCATTTCTATGGTCTCATAGCAGCTAATCACTCATCAGCAACTTTGAAATTTAAGAATTCTTTCTCTCTCTTCCTATGTAGAGAAAAGTGCATAAAGTGGAGAATTCAGTGGTTATTCCCTGAAGTTGGAGTGGAATATACTGACAAATGGTTGGACTCTTAGAGATGTGTTTTACTTTCAAAACATCTAATGTCATGAACTTTCTATGTTATATAAATTATACTTTCCAGATTTGCTTGTATATCATTATAATTTTTCCCATCAAAAGCAGTCTCATGAGGTACTCCTCTCTTGTTGCTTTCTTTTTTGGTGATACAAATGGATTGCAGTGTTTCAGAGCAAGAAAGTTTAGGAGATGCCCTTAGAAAGTATATAGACCCTGAGAAAGCAGATGCTGTGTACAAACAAAGGTAGTGTACTGTAGTTGGCCAAAAGAAAGTATATAATGTGCAACTTACTACCCCACTTACACATAGCTCTGAAACAATGTTTTTTATAGATGAATCAGAACTGGTCTTCTGAAAGGTCAACAGATTTATGCTTTTGGCTGAAAGATATCTTGACTTGCAGTTCATATTTTGCACAATCTTTAGCCTCAGGGATTATCTTCCAATAAACCAAGTACTAGAAGAAGCTTATAAGTATGTTTATTCATTCAGCTATTTCACCCTGAGATATGGCCACCTGATTGTAAATCACAAAAAAGTCCAAAGATTAGTATACAAGTGTTATAATTATAGTAAGCAATTTCATTGCCATCACTCTAATGTTTTATTTTAATAGTTTAAAGAAGTATTGTGAAGTTGGAACCCAAGGAGTATGTGTGTTTTTAAAAAATGAGCTTGTTCCTGGAAGAGAAATTAGGTAAAGTTAAGTTTCATGTTTAAGTTCCTTTCCAGTCACATTCAAGCTTTTTGTTATTGACACAATCATAAAATATAATAGTCAAGGATATCAATTTTAATCATATATTTCTAATTTTAATCTCTGACAAAAGTACAACCCTTATCGACTTTTCTCGAATCTCACTGCTTCCTTCTAAATGGTGAGTGTACTCAACATATTCCAATTTTCTAATTGCCAATATTGACGAAAGGAAAAGGGATAAAAGGATTGTAGCTTAACAAAAAAGAGTTAAGTTTTTTTTCAATTGTTTTTTTTTTAAGTCTAGTTTAGCTTTAAGCATGACTTTTTCATCGTGATTTTATTAGCATATTCTCGCCCTGAAAAAAGAAACCCTTTTAGCCAAGATCAGAACAAACAAGAATTTTGTATCTTGTATATTACTCAGTTTCCTTTAACTGGAAACTCTTCATCTCGCGCACGCAAACAATTTTGGTTTTTTCATTCCGGTTCGTGCCATGTCATTCAGTTCTCAACAAAGAACAACAGTCGGTCTCACCTCATTCTCGGTCATTTGAAAGAAAAATCCGATTATATGACTTTGCATTGATCCTTTCTTCAGTAGTGAAAGACCTCAAATTTAAACTGACAAGTTTGATTTGTGTGAGAACAGTCCTGCGCGTCCATAAAAAAGCCACTGCAGCAAATTAACATCAATAAGATAGCATTTTTTCCTATCATGTAATTAATGACCGTTGTGTCCATTATCACCGCGCGAAGATCCACAGTAACTGTTGTTAAAAATAATAGGCAAAGTGAGACCTTATTTCTAACTGTATCTACTTGCCCAAAAGGCACCGAGGGAAATCCTACCACAACTTTTCATTTGTACTGGAGACCATGTCCACGTTTCCTTGATTGGTCACAAATAGCGTTCCAGGTCTCCATATTGGCTTTTCGCTATTTTGGAGTAAAGGTTACTTTATTCTGATTCCTTTCCAGGTATCACCAGCTAGATATTTCACAGACTTTGAAAAGTTGTTTGAACAAGAAGACTATTATTGAATTCCCCACTTTACATGTTGTACTCCATGAGAAAACAGCAAGCTACCCCACTGGCAGTCAGCACATCGATGATGTGTGTGCGGTTTGATTTTCTGCAGATACTGAACGTTGTGATGATTTCTTGTTTCCGACTTTCTTTTGTATGTTAACGTGCTCTTGAGACGAGAAGAATAAATAGTTTTCAGAAAACGCCTCTGGGTCAAATTGTGTTGCAAATAATTCCGCCAGATCGACAAGCCAGAATTAATGTTAAGACAGTATCGGAGACTCATTCCGTATTACAGTGAAGAACTTTCAAAAAAACCTGTTTGGGGCAGAGAGTATCTGCAAGTGGTTTAGGCAAGATGTTAGGTGTGAAGGTCATTCTTTATTTTCCAATAAAGGGCGATAGTGTTTTGTTGGTCTCCCACCCGTTTAGTCTTATCCATTATAATAACACCAGATCCTTCGTCAGGTTTGGTACAGACTAAGTCATCTCGACGTTTGAGATGGCTAGCACTAAAACTTTTGTCGGTGTGGGGCTGCATCTTGCGACAGTCAGTCTAAATCTAACATTTTCAAACCCCGTTATCATAATTGTGTGTACCAGCCACACGAGTAATTTTAACAGGATCACTCTATTCACAACTCTCCTCCCTTTCTGCCTGTATGACTGAACAAAAAAAAAAGGTGTGATAACGGCAGCAAAATACCGTATTGTCGCACCCACTTTCTTTATTCGTGTGAGGGAGTTTCTTTGTGAGTCATCAGGATAGGTCAAGAGGGGTGATATTCCGTGTAATGGTGATTTGATTTGGTGGTCATGACTGTTGTTTGTGGTGTGTTCTCGTTTCAGCTGGCGATTCATCGTCTTTTATCAACTTACGTTGGTACCTTGTAAAACACGACTTTAGAAAGATTTAGTGAGACGTCTAAATGTGATTTTCATTAAGTTTAAGTATGACCAAAATCATTCGATGACATGAAGATAGTTTTTCTCCACTAAAACGTAGAACCGGAAAAGTAACTTGTAAGACCTTTTCACAGTCCAGGAACACATACGTCATCTATTTTGATATTTGATCGGTGAAAACAGATGACTTTTCACTATCGTTAACAATCATTGTATTCAGTACGACTTTTGATACCCCAAGGAGTGTAGAAATAGAACATATAGTCAGCCTAACTGGCCCGTTCATCTCAAAAGTGCAAACTTCGTGCTTTTTGCTTCAGGCCAATGGGCGCGCCTTCATCGTGGCCTTGGGGAAAGGGAATGATAATGAGAGCAGTGCAAGACTTGGCCCAAGTTTGCTATCAACGTAAAACTAAGATCATGGCGTTTGTGAGAGGTTTCTTGTCTTAACTCACTGGTCATCCAGTTTATCCTTTGAAATTACTACCATATCACCCGTTACAAGTCTCGTGTAAATAAATCTTTTACGACGTATTACTTGTAAATGCTCTGCGTGCTGATGCAGTATATATCCTCCATCTTTTCGGTCCTTCGTATCAGCTAATCTTATGAACTTTATTCCGGGAATATCTATATCCACGTCAGATATTTCTTTGTCAAGATATGTTTCCGTGATTTCAAGAATTTCAAATATACACGGGAATTGTGTAAGTTCCTCTATCTTGTCTCTTAGACTGCTCACAATCAAGTGCGCCAATCTAACGTCTGTTAGAACCACGGTCTTCAAACTGCTTCTCTGGAACAGGTAGACCACCTCTGTAGCTTGTCGTTGCTTCCTAATCCAGTCCGTGGTGAACTATCATTTTGAAACTTCCATCTACACCATATGAAAAGCTACTTGCGTCATTAATTTTAATTAATTGTTAAAGTCGTTGTAACGACTTTAACACGGAACAGTAAAAGTAACGTGCAAGGCCTTTACACAGTCCAGGACCGCGTACATGTTATATTTTTATTTACAATATTTCACCATCGTCAAAAGCCAATGTTTTCAGTCCGACTTTGACACCCCTTGGAGAGTTTCAATGGAACATTTGACCAGCTCTCTCTCGTTTGTCTCGATCATGAAAAATTCATACCTCTTTTGGCTTCTGACCATGAGCGCTCCTTCATCGTCGCCTTGGGGTGGTGCAGTGCGAGATTGGGCACAAGTTTGCCATCCAAACGGTGACGTTCATGGGAGGTTTCTTGTCCTAAATCACTTGATATCTAGTCCATCCTCTTAAATCTACTACCATCTTCCGCTTTACAAAGGCGGTATGGTTTTATTTCTTTCAAAGAACATTGGCTTTTTTTTTGGGTTATCTAGATTAATCTTAGTTGGACGATGGTCCCTTCAAACCTTGGCATCGTCAGAGTTTGATTTTGATTCAGATGAGTGGAAATCGAAGCCATTCCCTGGAGTTGCCGCCGTCTTCCCCTCGACACCAGCGATTTGCTCGTTTCTCTGCTACAGAAAATGGAGACATGTTATTTGCAGGTAAGGGAAAACGTAGGGCAATTTCTCGGTTGATCGATCGCCTGTTCGAACGTCATGAACAAATTGCTGGCCTCAAGGAATCAGTGTCAAATATTTCGGAGAACAGTGTCTTTGAATTCGTGCCATCGATTTCTCAATGAAGCGACAATAAAGGGTTCTCCGAAAAATGCTTGATCTTTAAAAGCATTGGTACGAGTTACGAGTCCTACCCATGTTGTTTTTGCTGAAACACATATTTCTGAAATTTACCATATTGAAAAGAAAAGCTAAATATCTAAATGAATTCTATACTAATGTTTGTTTATGTATACGTCTAGCTAGTGGATTATATACTGGGTGGGCAATCACGGAAATGTCTAAAACTGAATTGATCGAGGGTACCGATGGCACCGCTGATTACCCCTACCCTGCTCGTCTCAATCATGTAAAGTGCGTCCTTTTTGGAATATGTTTAGTTTAGTTAATGGAATTGGTGCGCTTTTCCTGGTTTCTTTATGTTGCGGCATTGCTGTCATTCGAAAAATTGGAGGTTCTTCTGTTTTTGGTGTGTCTTGCGTGTTGGTGTTGTCGCTGCAGTTTGTCTAATCGATGCAGTTTCCAGAAATCCTTTGTTTGTGTGGATGATTGAAACGGTGCACTTGGTAGTTTTGGTATATCTTTGCCAATCATTTGAAACGCTAGTGCAGAAAGAGCGTATCACCTGACAATACAAACAAACAGATTTGATCAGTCTAAGTTTAGTCTAGCCCGGTAAGTGCCGATTTTTGTTCGCATGGAAACAGGGGCTTATGGAAAAACCTCGTAGGACGCAAAACACAAGGCCAAAATCTTATTGAATTCATTCATGCTTTTAATGGTGTTATATCAAAACGCACTGATAAAAAATGATACTTAGGAAAGATAGTGTTTAGAAAAAGGATTATGGGGTTTTGAAACTTAAGGCAATGGATAGGAAAGAAAGTGGATCGGTAATGCACACTCGAATCACTTCACTCACTGGAGACTGATTTCTATTTAATCTTTTTTTTTTTTTAGCCATAACTCAACAGGAACGTACTCATTTGCAATTCATCAAGGAATATTTTATTTTTCAAACATGTAGGCTGTAGAAATTCATCTCATAAAGACATCTGTATTTCTAAAACTTGAGTTATCCCTAGAAATAAACAAAATTGAGATTAGGGAGTTAATTAAGTACTTCACAACATCAATAGAAGAATTCATTTGAGTAATTGATTCAAAATAATTCGTGAATCCAATTTTATTCAAAAAGAGAAAACGGTTGGGGAGATTACTAAAGATAAGATACTGTAAAAAGCTAGGACATCAAGTTGTGCAACACTATTGGAAATAATGCCGCACGCTACGTTTTGAAGGAAAGTCACTGAATACTGCTGAAAATGACGTTCAATATATCTCAAAAGAAACCAAAGCAGTTCCTGATATGAAGACTATGGTTGATAAAATAATCGAGTTTATGTTCGCCGGCAAAATTATGTTCGGGGCCCGGCTCAGGCACATTTTAGCCCCAGCCGCTACGCACAATGCACGGGCACAATCCTATTTGCAACAAAATTCATTTAGACGGCACTCCACCTGAGCAAACTTATGTTTACAGGTAGGATCTTATGAAGTTAGTGGCAGGTCACGTGGAGGGGTGTTGACTAATGAAAGGGAAGAAAATTAAGCATGGACATGACTGAGGCCGGGGACGGGAAGGCTCTACAGAGCGCCTTACTTCAAACTGCTTTGATGGGCCTTGTACTCCATGATTGTGTTTTGTGGCAGATTCAAAACCCTCTTGAGTGTGTCCCTACAATAACGCAAACATTCACCTTATTCAGTGACCGTGCGAAGAGACTACGTCACCTACATCTAGAAACCACAGGTATGTAGCTGGACTGGTCAATAATACAATTTTAAAAACAATTCGACGTGACGTAAGCAGTTCCGGAAAAAGCGCTTGCCGGTTGCTGACACAACAGCGTCTCCTGTCTCAGCTGTCAGGTATAATTAACTTTTTGCACCCAAAAAGTTTCCTTGAAATTTTTTGGAGACACGATTCCAACTTGCAAATGTTTGTTAGGATATATATTTTCTCACTTGCACTTTACTTTCTGAAATGAACTCAAACACAAAAAACACTCTATATCCAATATTACCTTATACGAGTAGTTGTAGCTTGATCAGCTGCATTTCGGTTCCATATTGAGATTATATCTTCCTACAGAAGGTCGAAATAATTTCAATAATTTTCATATAACAACAAATAATATTGTCATGCCCAACCTCAGACTTGCAGATCAACAAGTGAATTATTTCAATTTTTTTTTTGGCCAGAATTAAAAAAGTGAATACAAAGAAACAGAGGCTAATGGCAGTGATGCAAGAATAACTATGCAATTTTCATCTATGGTACTAAGAAAAAATATCAGGTGATGGTCCATGTGTATTTCTGTGCCAAATCTACAGGTGTTCAAGTAGTTTTTTTGGTGGTGTAAATGTTAAACACATTTTCATTTTAACATAAGTAGTGTATTGTACCTGTGAATTTTAAGTTGAGCTATGTTTCAATATGTTATGAAAAGTAATTATGACATATAGTAAGGGATGTATCAGATGAATAAATTGCTATTGACAATATTAATAAAGAGCAAAATTACAATTTCATCTGAAATCACAAATTGACTTGTAACACACAGGGTCATCATTAATGTCATCATTATCAGTCAATGCCAGTACCTGAAATCGTACAGATATCACTGCTCCACAAACTTCACTTCCAACCATAAACTGCTCCCCAAGCATAGCCAGAATCTACAATTATAACATTTTTCTATTAAACAATTACTGTTAGTTCTTTCAGTGAGAAAACTTAATTACTAGCAAAATGGTAACAATTAAAAACTGGTTTTGCCAGTTTCCATGTGTTGTACCATCAAAATATAAAAAAAAATTATTTTAGAGAATTTATACAGATTGAATAACTTGAAGAAATGTTTTAACTCAAACTTAAGAGGTGTTGTATGTGTGGAGAAGCAAAGTTGGTTTTAAGAGTTAAATTTTTTATAATGATTTAAGAAGTGCAGAAAAATTTTAAAAAAAGTGAACTTAACCTACAAGATTCTCCCAGCATCTTGAAGCTAGTCCTTTCCTCAGTCTAACTATCCACTTTCCTCCATATTTGTTAGCTTCATCCTGTAAAAAGGACATTACCACTGTCAACAAAATGATTAACACACTTGTCTGACGAGTACTTCATGCATAATTTTTTTTCACCCTTGCCATTACTTTGGCCTCCATTTCCCTTGAAGGAGCATTGTGCTTCATCACATGTACCTGGAAAAACATTTAATGTGCAATATCTAAAGGGAAGGGGTCATATTATGCTCACAATTACCAAGTGTTATGTAATTTTATTCAGAGTAATTTGTTATTTACCTGTTTACAGTTTGCAAAAAGAAATTTAGAAAGAGTGAACTAAAACCTGCTTTTACTAAGACTTAAACTCAAAGTAAATTATCTGTGTTGTAATCACTTGTCATTCTTATCATGAGTTGTGGTACATGTAGGTTATAAACACAAATTCCGAGAAACATTCACATTGCCACATCTTAAAAAATTCAGATCCAGTGTTATACAACGTACTGTTCTAAAACTTTAGGAAAATAGGAAACTGTTCACACAGCAAGTAATCAGATGTATAATGACACACAATATACAGTAACTTGTATGGGTGTATTTCAATTTTCATCATAAAAGCCTATTATGTCATAACCAAAGAGTAAACTGCAGTGAACAAGGCCTTGAGTTTTTGTATTCTTTAACAAGGTGACAAATCTTAGCTTTATCCACTAACACTTATCCAACATTTGATTCCTTCAAAACACTGCCCAATAGTTGTCTATCTCAATGTCCCTCAACACCTCAAGGAAATAAGGGTTACAATATTTGTCTATCATTAAGAAGACATCCAAAACAAACCTATTTTCATAATTTTCTTTGTTTATCTATTCCTAAAATGTAGTCTTGCTGTTGATTTGAAAATTTTGGAATCATATTTGGACCAAAACCTCCTTGTTGGTAATGAATAGAAATCTGCTGTATTTTCATTTTTTTGCTATTCTCAGCTGTTACATTGCAGTGAACCTTCCAGAGAAAAAGGGGAATAATCTTAAGGGAAATAAGTTCTTGTTTGCATTTACATCTGATCAATTAAAATTGTGGTACTTGAGAACATCTCTTAAATTCCTGTCAATCAAAGCTGAAATGGCTGAGATAATTTTCACATGTAAAGGAAAAGAAATATCATTAACTTTGTGGAAAAAACAGCAAATAAATTTCACCAAATGTTAAATCTGATGGACTTACCTCCCACATTGGTTTAATGCCATCCTTAAAAAGGTGAATATCACTATGACCAGATAAATCCCCAGGCCTTACTAAGTAGCTATAAAATCTCCAAAACTGTTCAACCTGTGGATAAAAATGAAGGTATTAAACATTTTGATGGTACATTTCTGAGGTAAACAATATGACAAAAATTACACAGTCAATGCCTACTTTTTTAACTGTAAATTAGTGTTTAATAATTACATGTACTATATGATTGGGTTTTGTATCTGTTTCATCTCATATCTGCAAAAATATTTAGACAACCACAAGCTCATAGTTAAGACTAATATGGGATCTGTTATCACAAGAATTTAATGTTCATAAAATTGTGTAATTATCCAAGGTACATGTAGCTAACAATAACTGTTATATGGATATCCAATTCCTTTTAATGTTCATAATCCGTGAAGAGCAGACAATAGCATTTCCTTTCCCAACCCATACTGATAACATTAATGCTACATTCCCAAACAAGTAAAGCAAATATTAATAATTAATTTCATTTCAAATTTTGTCACATATTTTTATAACCTAATGGTAGGAAATAGAAAACTTACAGATGCAAACTTTCCAACCAACTTTATATTGTCAGCATAATTAGCAGAAGACTGAAGTTTTCCTGGTGCTCTTCGTGAAAACCAAAAAGCATGAGGACACTGCAGGGGATGCTCTCCGTCACCAACAGTCACAATTTTGTTCTCAAGCTAGGAAATAATAACTCTGTTTAAGGCTGACTTACCTTTTGTGAGGATTTACAAAGATACTGTTCTTAAATATTAAATATGGCTGTTGAACAACATTGACTTAGTGATCTTCATCCTACAAACCCTTGCTCAACATAGTCTTTATAGCTCAGTGGTAGAGCATTGGAGCACGGAATCCGAAGGCCTGAGGTTCGATTCCTCAGGGGACTCAGAAGTTTTTCTTTGTCCTATGCTCATGACAAGACAAAGAAGATCTTTCTCTGTTCCTTTACCAAGCTCAAAACTAACCATCTCTCTTATTCAATCTACAAATATACCATTCTTTCACATAAAAATGGCTGTTGTACAACATTGACTGAGTTATCTTCCTCCTTCAAAACCTGGTAAACCAAGTTTCAAGTTGGTTAAATAAAATCAACTAATTTGAATAATTTACGCTATACAGTTGCACCTGCATAAAGTGGTCACCCACTGGGAATAGCAGGATGACCACTAAATACAAGTTGATCAGTCAATACAAGTTCCACAGAATAAGGGTATTACAAAAAACAATAACACCGCATTTTAAGCCCTAATTTACTGGACTTGTTCAAAAATACCACTAACATTGATGCAGGAGACCAACCTGCTTGAAGTGACTATTCAATACAGTTGGAGAAAAATGGAAACAGGCCAATTGAACTCAGTACAGGGTGACTACTTAATAAAGTGCTACTTAATACAGGTTCAACTGTGGGTCTCCTCTTGAATTGCAGTGGTTTTGCCTACAACTCATTTCACTAACAACCAGTTCACTAGATTTTCCATCACATCCGTCACATCAGTTAGTTCCAAGTTTTAGTCAGAACATTAACAAATATAATCACATTGTTCTTCAACAAAGTCACATTGCCCCAAATCTACAAATTAAAAATTTATTGCCCGAATTGAGGACAGAAAGAGAGATGACACAAATTGTCACTTTACAGAGCTTACCTGGACAATTAAACATGAAACTTTTTACTTACTTTCCATTCATTTTACTGGCATGAGTCAAATGAACCGTCAATTGTTAATTGATTGGTCAGACACTACTCAATTTACTTAACAGAGAAAGAAATTATGAAGAAGCAACTAATTAAATGCTGTACTACAGTACAATGGTACAAGAGAAACCAAAAATTGAAACAACTTAATTCCCCCCGAGACTTTTGGTCACTTAGAAGTCAATCAAGTTTTGCCATAAGCAATCTCTAGATGTTTTGTGGTACTTTGGCAAAATGACCTGAGCTGCCCTAAGACATGGGCCAAATGACTTAAAATGTTATTGTAGTGGTCTTTAGCAAAACGAATCATAAATGAAATTCTTGAAAATATGATGAATTTCCTTGAAAAATTACAGTGAAAATTCAGAGTTCTAAGGTTCTATAAAAATTATATTAAAATGAAAGGTAAAAAGTTTTTTCCTTTTCTTAAAAAAAATTAATTCTAGCTTAAACAACTTCTTTGCAACCAATTACCAGTGTTAAATTTTTAGGAGCAAAGAACCAGTGGAAAGGAAAATTTATTTCAAGCCTTGGTTGAGTGTGTGTTTCTATTTAAAAATACCTCAGCTTGCAATTTAATTCTTCTCTCTTCCTCCTCGCTAATCCCTTCTCCATTGATGCTTTCATCACTCCTGGTCTGTTGAATACAAAGTACATGTATGCAGTCTGTTAATTTAGCAATACAGTAAAGAAATGCCTCAAAAGTTATATAGTTACCCCCTAGCTTCTTAATGAAACTTGTAACAGTTCTTGATATCATATGAAAGTTCAGTACAGCTGAAATAGTTATCAGCTTCAGATCACTCTTCATCTCGAACAATGTTCTGTATGTGTAGGCACACTGCAACAGCCGCATCCCTTCTTGGTGCATTTCCTTGAGCAGTTGCTTAGGCATAGTGTTTCTTGCGAAGGCTGTACACTTATTCTTTTGACAAATGTCACCACACTGCCTCCTTACACTTAAACAAGTGCTTGGCTTGTTTGCAAAGGTCAGCTGTATCAATACAGTGAGCAGTACATTACTATTCCCTGACCCACTTCGCAGCACCAACAAATGTTCTGCCATTGCCAGAATAGATTTGCTCTGGTCTCCCTTGCCTCCCAATGAACTTTTTCAAACTCCTCAAGCACTCTTCTGTTTCCAAACTTGGCAAGATATCCAAGTATAACAGAACATAAGCCTTTCTCTCTCCTTGTCTTGATATGCGATGTTGCAGTGGACCAGCATAGTTGACTCCTATCACTTGGAATGGGTTAATGCCTTCAGAATGGGTGGTTGGAAGGCATCCAGTTGGTGGGGTAGCCTTTGCCATTGCTTGAAATCTTTTGCATCCATGGCACTTTGGGCAAACTTTCTTCACCAGCTTCCTCAACTTAGGGATCCAGTATCAGTTTCGAGCTTTGATCATCATTAGCCCCACTCCCCCATGCAAGATTTGAAGGTGGGCTTTAACAATTCGCTGGGAATATTGACTGGTTTCTGGTAAATACACTGGGTAATCTCCTTGCAATCGGCCCCGAGACTCCAATAGGCTTTCCTGATTTAACTACAAGTTCAACACCTCTCTATCCTTTTCAACTTCACCACTCTTTTGAGCCTGCCTTTCCCAATGAAGTCTCAGCTGGTTTGTTTCTTTAGTTGTCAGTGGTTCCTTAATGTACATTCTTCCTCAACTGCAAAGAGTGTTGTGTGCGAATCTTCTCATCCACACACACACACATACAGCTTTCCATATATGACATCTGCATAATACATTCTCGACCTCATCCTCTTTGTCAACTGCGACTGCCAGGACTTTCCAAACAAATTTAGCTTTGGCTGACCAATTCTCTTAGCTTGCAAGCCTGTTGGGCCTGTGCCACCACTGATCTACTTCCTCTAGACAGCCTCCACAACTTCTGAGATCAGCTGGGTTCTCTGCAGTAGGGACATAACACCATGTGACACCATGATGACTGTTTATCTCCTGGACACAATTTCAACACAAACTGCTTGTGCTCCCCTTGCCCCCTAATCCAATACAAGGCAACTGAACTGTCCAGCCAACAGTGCATGCTTGTTAAGGGTAATCCTTCAAAGCCTCTTTATGTTGGTTATCAGGTTCACGGCTATATGGCTACGAGGTCAAGCTGCAGAATAGTCAGGCCTTGTTTGGAGAGTCTTGACCTTAAAGCAATCAGACCTTGGTTTATCCTGGCCGCCTGATGAATGACAGCATAAACACAGGCTGCAACTCCATTTGCACTGGCATCTCCAAAGGAATGT